TTTCAGAGGCAGGTAGATAAGGTCTCTCTGGAGGCACTCTTGCTTTTAATTATTTGTATATTTTGTGGAACTATAGAGGACTATTGAAGGCCCTTTCAGATTAAAGCCCCAGACTAGCAGCAACACACTTAGGCTGAAGGCATTGTCTTACTTAAACTCCACTCTCGGGCAGACACACTGCTGACCCATTAAAACGACAAAAGCGATAAGGGGGCTGAAAAGTGTTCTTGCCCCCTGGTTTAATGTTTTTTTTTCTATGGAGACTGGTTGGGTGGCAAGTTCCACTTCATCATGGCAATGTCAAAAGCTGTTCAGGCTGAGAGAGTGTGTGCCGCAGCAGTAGCTCATTGAGCCCACCCCTTTGGTGTTGGCAGCTGGGTAGCTGGGTACCTGGGGAACCACCCAAACCATGTCAGCTGGGAGCTGCATGCCAGCTTCTCACAATGGAGGAAACTTTGCCGCGAAATTGAATTTCAATGCAATGCCCGACACCTTCAGCGTCAAGTGGGGCTTAATAATGTTTCACTGTTTCAGTGTTTCAGTGGGAATCCGGAGCAGAGCGAACAAGTGGCAAGCAGCAAGTAGCGAGTAGCAAGCAACAAGCGGCTGCAACATCATTAAAACTCTGTTTTAAAAACAGGGTCCTTTACGAAGTTTTAGTTGGGGGGCATTGAAGAACAGAAGAAAAATCACGTTTCTTGCAGGACAACTTTGTGGACTTCCACTTGACGGCAAATATTAAATACCAGGGCTTGAAGGGCTTGAAAACCCTACTAAACTTAATTAATTTATTAGTATTTTTCCCGCAGTGCTCTTGCAAATCGTTATGTAATATTCCACCGATAAAGCCGCACTTAATGTAGGCGTCGGTGATTACAGCAAAGGAAGTCAACTTATCGCCAGAGTCAGGGAGGGCGCTTATGAAGAATCGAAAAAAAAACGGAGAAAAGAACTGACAACCAGAAAGGAAGAGGTTGCTGATAGTCAAAGTGCCGCAAAATGTTGCAAAAGCAATTAGCAGCCGGCAGCAGGCCAAATGCAATCAATCAACTGCAAATGCAGTTAGGCCACAGATTTTGTCGTTAACCATAATTCAATCACCTTAAATTGATGCCAAACAACTCGCTTAACGTTAATTTCAATTTGTGCCTCATTTTAAGGTGAAATTTAATTAAATTTTCATTCATAGTTGGACTCTGTATTTGTGGAGCTTAATTGACTTAGGCTGAGCATACGGAAGACCGAAAATTTGCATTCTCTTTTGTCTGGGCTGGGGAGTATGTATGTTGCATATGCAACTTGCAACTTGTGGCTTTGTGCGCACTTAAGTGGCAACAATGCTGGCTGCCGGACACTAAATACTGAATTCATGGCAAATTAAGCGAGCCACAGAATGCTATACTGGCCAAGAAGTACTAGCCATAAAGGTGCTGGTGTTAAAATTGCCAAAAGAAGGAGGTCTATCTAGCAAGCAGACATGGGGATACTCTATGAGAGAATAATACTATTAACCTTAAAATAAAGAACCTTAATACATGGTTATATTAAGAGGCAATATCCATGGATACTCTTTTGTAAGTATTGTAATATTATAACCTCATATCTCTCACAAATAAACCAACTTAACCTTTAAGATACCTCTTTGGCTAAACATTAATACCCTTTTGTAGAGTACAACTCTCCCCCCTGGTGGTTTAAAAACTATTTCAACCGTTTATGTGCGGAACACAAACTCACACATGAACATGAGCTCATCAAATGAAGTTGCACTAGAAGCACCTCAACCTTCATTTTAACCAAAAATGAAACAGTTACCGCATCCGCATCCGGATCCGCATTTTGTTGCGTTTTTGTTGCCGGCTTTTGGGCGCTGTCCAGGTTCTGGCTTTGCAGTGCTGCTGTCTAGTGGTGTTTTGACTGCTCTTTTCATGCTTTTTTATGAGTAAGCTCTCCGGGTTTTTTGCATTTTTGCTATTTTGCAACAAAATGAACTTGCCGCTGCGCAGTGCTGCTGTTGGTACTGCTGCTGCTGCCATAAAATGAACTAAATTGAGTTGAAAATGTTTTGCACACGCCCCCCCCCCCATCCTCATTCCCATCCTTTTATATTTTAAAGCAGAGAACGGAAACTAAAGCCGAAGCCTGGGGCATTCAGACAGCATACAGTGCTGACAATAAGTGTATTTACCATGCATATGCGTTTTAATTATATACATGCCACAGACAATCAGAAGGAGGCATTCCACGATTGGGGGCTTCTGCCGGTGGCCTGCAAATGAAATGGCAACCACTTTGGGTAAGCATTTCGGTTGCCCCCCAACCCCAGGTCGCTTCTGCAGTTTTCAGCACAGGTGCTGCAGACGTCTAGACGGCTTTTGGAGTGCTTAGGGCCGACGTGAATTTCTCATAATTAGCAAAAACATGGAAATAAATGGGAAATTTAAGCAGGAAAACAGGGAAATTTTCAGTTGCATACGAAGGAGGGAAGAATCTTAAAAAGCTCTCCTAGGAAGCACTCTTTGGAATGTGCATCTTCAAAAGAACAAAAGCCAACTAGCAATTATCAAGGAATTTGGGTTTTCCGACTTTAAAGATGGTTAGAATGCCGAGACTAAGACCGAACCTTAAGATCTCCTCAAGGCCTTGAATCGACAAAGCCCCGAGTCCCGGTCCCTGTTTTTTGTGTCATCTTTTGCGACAAATTTCGAATTTACCTTAACATTTCAAAGGTAAATGTCAACCGAGGGGTTCGTGCACCTGCAACTGACTTGCCAGCATTCTCCGCCTCACATGTAACTGTGTCCTGTGCCTGGGGCGCGGTCAGACGGGCGGGTTGAGTGGGCGGTGTGGCACAACATTAAATTTACAATATGCTCATTGCAATTTCGTCGTCCTCACCTCTCGACCCTCTTTGAGCATTTGATTTGATAATAACGTTTTTGGAAATGTCATTTTCTCCCTTCCAGAAATTGATTTGACTGCCACATCTTGGCCCTTTTCGTGGGGTGGCCCTGCCTGATCCTGGTCCTGGTCCTGGCTCGTAAAAGCCAAACGCATATTTATGAAGAGCATAAAAATTATTGACATATATGGCGGAGTCATAAATGCTCATGCCCATAAGCACTCTCCTACTCAACCATTCCAATGAAAATCCCGAGTCCCTGAAAGAAAATTGCCAAGCCAGAAAAAAAAAAATGAATATAAAATTTGGCGTTTGTTGTTTTCATTTTTATTTTCTTTTTTTTTTTCATCCTTCAGTACTCAAAGGCAGCTCGTAAATGCAATTTGATTTTGATTGGACTTGGATTAAAAGCAAATAAAGTTCACGTCTTAAATGTCAAATTTTGGAAAGGATTTTTACGGTTGCCCTCTGGGTAAACTTGAGGGATTTCCAGCAAGGATGAGGTAGATGGTATGAGATATATATTTAAAGAATATGTCAAGGTTTTTAATACCAAATTTAAGCATTAAATTTTGGCCCTAAAGCAGAACTAAAGTTGAATTGTAGCCTTAATGGAGAGTCAGGGCAAATCGATTGGATAACCTCGATTCGCTAGAGCTCACCACGTCCACGTCCTTTAGTGCCATCAATTTTATGTTAATATTTGCCATATTTTTATTGGCTTAATCCAGTTATGAAATCGCGGCAATATGTTTTTACTGGCTGCCGATGACAATTGGCCCCCATAAACAATCTGGCGAGAGATTTAACCGATTCCGCAGGACCGATTCATGAGCGTTTATAGTTCAGTTGGCCTTAACTGGCTATCCTACCCCACAGGCCAAATACAAATATGGCCAATTATGTTGCGTATGGAAAGGAATTGCAAATTGTTTATTATTCTATTTTTGTGCTCGACTTGTTGGCTTAAAGGGCTACTGTTTGTTGAACTTAAAGATGGCGGAAAAAAATAAAAAGTCTGGAAAAGTTTTCAAAAAAAATCGGGAGGGAAAAGTCAAAGAATAAGCAGGAAAGTTCGACAGGCATTCACAATAAAAATATGTACAAAAGCATTTCAAGCGTACACAAGTCGACTTCCTGTTTGGCAAGGACATTCTATCCGAATTGTGCATGCAAACAGGAATACGAACTACGTACGTATCCTTACACACACACACCCATGTCCTGGCACTTCTATTGTAGTAGTTGGCCAATAGGTTGCACGTTGTTTTCCTTTCCCCGAAAAATATTCACTCGAAATCGGAAATCAAAAATAGCTACATTTCTGGCACGGCACCCATCCTGCGGCTCTGGGGTTTCCTTTTTGTATTTACATATTCCATTGTTGGGCCATGAGCATAAATCGGATTCCAGTGCTGGCCTTTTGTTGGTCTGCTGGCCTCCTATGCTGACCTCTGTCATACTTTCGGCCATTGTCCGGGGGATAATGCCGCCTCGGTCATCCATATTGCTTCAACGACTGACATTTGACACTTTTGCAGCCTCCCCCTGATTTCATCTCAACGACCGCAATATTAATTGCTGATGATATGGAAGAAGTGATGAGTGACAGGCCGGCAAATACAAATTAGTTTAATTAAAGAACTGTGTGCTCAGCATTTAGCCATAACCACACATCGTCCCGACGGGCAAACAATTTCGCAGACAAAGCGACGTCACAGAAATTAACATAATACAATACCCATAATTAATGGGTCCTATTTGGGAGGACTTTCCCCAGACCCTGCTCGATATTGTGCCTTCCTCGGCACAAAACTTCAATTGCAAATAAACAACCTCCTCCTGGAGTCGAAAAAAAAATGTCATTTGATTGAAATGGGATATCTAGTTCCATCTCTGGCCCCCAACCAACTTTTCTGGCTGCCAGAAAACAGTATCTGCTCGAGTCAGTGTCCTGTCCTGTTCGAGTATTTGCCCCGAAATGAAAACTTTGTTGACACTATCGACTGGGGCGCAGTGTCCGGCGCATCACTTAGCGAAAATTCTTAAACAAATATTGGCTTTACTTAACTCGGAGTGTTTTCTTGTTTTTTTCCAGATCATGTGCGGGAGTTCTCATGCGGCAAGCTCTACTACAGGACCTTCCATATGAACGAGGATCGGGATGTGCTCTATGTGGGAGCTATGTAAGTCGTTTTTTTTTTATATAATTACTTTAAGATAAGTAGTTATATTATTTTTTTGTATATTCCAGGGATCGGGTATTCCGTTTGAACCTGCAGAACATCTCATCGTCCTTTTGTGATGTAAGTACCTGGGCTTAACTTTGCTTTCACCAACTTCGTGCCTGATTATCCTAAATGCCTCAAATATGATAATCCTAGAACACGCTTTTAGGTAAAAGTCCCATCGTCGCCAAAGGTCACCAAAGGGATGCGGCGTAGGTTGTCCAGGGTCGGGCCACAAATCTAACTGACAGAAGATGGGGCCAAAAAATCGTGAAAAGCTTTTTGGGCGAAAAACAACTTTGCTTGCGGCTGGGATGCTGTTCCTGGTGTTGCTGCTACTACTGCTGCTCTGTGGCATATTGTTAAAAATTCATTATACGCCCCGTTGCCCCTGATGGCCCGCTGTCCTCCTGGCGGTGTGTATGTGTGTGTATTTTCCATAGTTTCCAAATGGCCGCTAAGCTTCTTGCAGCTTTTTGTGGCCATAAAGCGCCATCTAAACGTTGTCAGCACAATACGCCGGCTTAGCAGCCTTTTAGGCGCACTTCAAATGGCAAAACAACGACGACAGCCACAAATCTTCGATTCCCCAAGCGCTTCCAGCGGCCAAAAACAAAAAAAAAAATCAAGTTTATTTTAGTTAACCCAAAGGCCCTCCACCACCTGACAAAAAAAGGGCCAAGCCAACGAAAAAAAACACACATATTTAATATGCACTCTTGTCCGGGCATTATGTTTTCGGACGGTATTCCCCGAACTGGTTCCAGGACGAGGTTTATGCGTTGCCCGCATATCGGAGAGCTACATACGCGAACTTGCCACAACATTTGCGAGGCAATTCGATTACAGGAAGTGCTACCCGACTACCCGGCGTCTTCTTGGCTTTTGGGCTGTTTATGAATTTATGACTTGCAAAAGTTTGTTTTATGAGCGGGAGACAAGACTGCCGTACACCTGACCTCCCTCCCTGGGCGGGAGCCCTACAACGCATCTCCGAGCTGAATCGTAAAAGTCTAAGAGGTTATATTTCCTTGTAGCGTGTTCGTTCGCCAGTCAGGATACGTCAATATATTTTATGCGGTTAAGTGCGAATACATTCGCCGTGGGCATCATTTGGTTCTGGCCTATACGAAGGCGAACAGCACTGCAAGAAAATACTAAAGGGTTTCTAGCAAGCTTAGTGTTAAGCTTCATTACAAGTATTAAGAGTTTTGTGATGAATATTTCTTACAGTGCACTTGTATGCCTTACTCTCCTTTGGGCTCCCAGCTCCGGCACCTGTTCCTCTCCATTCCCGGCACCGCTGCTTTATGCGCCAAATGCAAATTCAACTAAATAATACATGATTTTGGTTTTATATGAACGCTCTGCTGCGACTGCCTGCCTCCCAGGTGGTTGGGCAGTGGGTTGGTGGGTGGTTGGGTGACTGGGTGGTTGGGTGGTTTTATGGCTAGGCGGTGGTTGCTCTGCCCGCCCTCTGGGTGGCTGCGAGTGGCAATGCGAGAGGTTGGTGCGTGAAAATATTTCGTGTGTGCCTCGGTAACATTACGTGATTTATAAATTTATTTAGTTGAAAGCATTTCTGAAGGTGCCACGGACGGCTGCTGCCTGCTAGTTGTAGTTTATGCCACATGCTCTTGCCTCTCGCCTCTTGCCCCACCCCTGCCACATGCAATATACAATTTCTGTGCTCGCTTTTTTTGAGTAAATTGAATTTTTGAATTGATAGAGCCCGCAGCACGTGAGCTTTTAACCTAATGGTTAATGGCAGTGAACTACATTCAATCCGGTCCATATTTGGCTAATTTATCTTTTGGGGAAACCTTTCGTTGCAGCGGGACCTGATCAACCTGGAGCCGACCCGCGACGACGTGGTTAGCTGCGTTTCCAAGGGAAAAAGTCAGGTGAGTCGAAAACTAATTACCGAAAACTGCCATCCAGCATGTCCTTGGAGCCAATAAAGTTATATTGTTTTCCTTCAACGAATAAGACATGTTTCATATTGAATTATTGTACCTGTGCTATCGAAATTTGTCCAACTTTTAGTACATACGATATATGTGCATGTGTGTATTTTAGAAATAAATCAGATCCCTGCGGAGGTATTTCAGTAACTCGATTGCAGTTTAAAGCCAAGGAAATCCCATCGACTGGCAATGTGGCAGACGCTTCTGTTGCAACTCGTTTATAATGTGACAGCAAATCCTTTCATTCGAAATCAATTTCAAGTTATTCGTGGCAGGAGCAGTTTCCCGAACAGAAGCAGCAGCAGCCGCAGCAGCATGTTGCATCCGAGGGCTGCCTCAACTGTGGACTTGTAGACTACCCACATGGGTATCCTGCTTAAGTCATCATAAAGCTGCTTGTGTGCCACTGGCGCGCTGCTACTCGTTGTAATTTTTTGTTGCAACTGCTTCTGCCACTAGCTCCTCGCTGCGTTGCATTGTTGCCAATTGATTTAGCTTCGGCAGCCACGCGTGCTATTGCAATTTGTCCACATTTCTGCCACAAATTTGCTACAGCTCCAGCATTACTCGAGCACAGTCGCAATAATTTCGATATCGTTGCGATTGGGTGCCAAAACAGATGATGCCGTGCCACAATAAATTGGAAAACCCCATCGCCCCACAACATTGTCGAACCCCCCTCCGAACCCGCCTCCGATTTAGTGTGTCCTCTATAATCGATATGTATTTTGCAGGTCTTCGATTGCAAGAACCATGTGCGTGTCATTCAGTCAATGGATCAGGGCGATAGGCTGTATGTGTGCGGCACCAACGCCCACAACCCCAAGGATTATGTTATCTATGTAAGTCGCCCAGATTGGGAAGCCAAACGGTATATGGTGTATGGTGTATGCCATATTCTATTCATGTTTCAATGAAAAGATGCCAGCCGACAGTTGACTTTAGATGGCAATCAACAGTTGCTCACTCAGCCTTTGACATCCAGGCCCAGATAAAGCAACTAAACTAAAGGCAAACCCTGTAGGCAGTCTCGCATTTATTATTTTCACTCCTTTCAGGCCAATCTGACCCACCTGCCGCGCTCCGAGTATGTGATTGGCGTTGGCCAGGGCATTGCCAAGTGCCCCTACGATCCCCTGGACAACTCCACGGCGATTTATGTGGAGAACGGCAATCCGGGCGGCCTGCCTGGCCTGGTAAGCAAATAGCCCCCCATAAACCACTAAACTTTCTCCGACTCTAACTGGCGGTGTACATAACTCTCATCTCAGTACTCGGGCACCAATGCGGAGTTCACCAAGGCGGACACGGTCATTTTCCGTACTGATCTGTATAATACTTCGGCTAAGCGGTTGGAATATAAATTCAAGCGGACTCTGAAATACGACTCCAAGTGGTTGGACAGTAAGTATGAAATAATAAAACCGGAAAATAGCTTAGAATGCAATTTAAACTTTGAAGAGTATGAATAATGCTTGATTCTCTTACTTGCAGAACCCAACTTTGTTGGATCCTTTGACATTGGCGAGTACGTGTACTTCTTCTTCCGTGAAACCGCCGTGGAGTACATCAACTGCGGCAAGGCCGTCTATTCACGCATCGCCCGGGTCTGCAAGAAGGATGTCGGTGGCAAGAATCTGTTGGCCCACAACTGGGCAACGTACCTCAAGGCCCGGCTTAACTGCAGCATCTCCGGCGAATTTCCGTTCTACTTCAACGAGATCCAGTCCGTTTACCAGCTGCCCTCCGACAAGAGCCGCTTCTACGCAACCTTCACGACGAGCACTAATGGCCTGATTGGATCTGCCGTATGCAGTTTCCACATTAACGAGATTCAGGCTGCCTTCAATGGTAAGCTGCATCTGCATCGCGTTGACGTGCAATTTTCTTGCTTGTCCACTAGCCATCTAGCTGGTCGCCCCCTCCCAGTTGGGTATGGATTTGGTGAATCGGGGACTGGGTACTGGGTATTGGGAAATGGCACATTCAACTTATTGGCAAATTTTATTTGCCATCTATACGTTTGTTTTATTCCGAGGGAAATCCGTTCGAGAGCACTCTCCTGCCCTCCTGCTGCTGGTCTTTGTCGAGTGTGTTTTGTAATTTCAGTTCGAGTTGGATTCGTTGCCGTTTTTGTTGCCGTGCGCAACATAAATCGCATTAGAAAATCCATTTGAATGGATTATTGCCACACTCGTTCACCCACCAGCACCACCAACACCCATTCATGCTGGCATAGATTTTTGTTCGAGGATTCCCAATCGCTTGACAGCTTAGAGGAGAGCCAGCTGACACCTTTGGTCGTAGATTTAAATCTTCAATTGCAACTCAATATCAGTTTTCCCCCCCATTTCGTATTTATTTTACCATTTTCTCTCTTTTTTTTTTCCATCCCCGCCCACAGGTAAATTCAAGGAGCAATCTTCATCGAATTCCGCGTGGTTGCCGGTGCTGAACTCCCGCGTACCGGAGCCCCGGCCGGGTACGTGTGTCAACGATACATCAAATCTGCCCGATACTGTGCTGAATTTCATCAGATCCCATCCACTTATGGACAAAGCCGTAAATCACGAGCACAACAACCCGGTCTATTATAAGAGGGATTTGGTCTTTACCAAGCTCGTCGTTGACAAGTGAGTTTTAAATAAAAACAAAATAAATATTCCTCAATTGCAGGTGTGATACACACTTCCAGGTGTTCTCTCAATTGACCTCCGCTCACTTCTTTTTTTATATGTTTTCCAGAATCCGGATTGACATCCTCAATCAGGAATACATTGTTTACTATGTGGGCACCAATCTGGGTCGCATCTACAAAATCGTGCAGTACTACCGCAACGGCGAGTCCTTGTCGAAGCTGCTGGACATCTTTGAGGTGGCTCCCAACGAGGCCATCCAGGTGATGGAAATCAGCCAGACACGTAAGAGCCTCTACATTGGCACCGATCATCGCATCAAGCAAATCGACCTGGCCATGTGCAATCGCCGTTACGACAACTGCTTCCGCTGCGTCCGTGATCCCTACTGCGGCTGGGATAAGGAGGCCAACACGTGCCGGCCGTACGAGCTGGACCTATTGCAGGTCAGTAACACATGCCTATTGAAAGGCATATATTGTAAGGCTACTTTATCTTTGTTATTAAACAGGATGTGGCGAACGAGACTAGTGACATTTGCGACTCGAGTGTCTTGAAAAAGAAAATAGTGGTGACCTACGGCCAGAGTGTTCATCTGGGATGCTTTGTGAAGATTCCGGAAGTCCTGAAAAACGAACAGGTTACTTGGTATCATCACTCCAAGGACAAGGGACGGTAAGTCATAATTGTATTATTAAAAATAGAAACTATAATTTGTTTAAATCATAGCTATGAGATTCGTTATTCGCCCACCAAATACATTGAGACCACGGAACGTGGCCTGGTTGTGGTTTCCGTGAACGAAGCCGATGGCGGTCGCTACGATTGTCACTTGGGTGGTTCCCTTCTGTGCAGCTACAACATCACAGTGGATGCCCACAGGTAAGCTTAATAAAAATATCTAAGAGTCTATTAAGAAGTGGCTTGACTAATCCTAATTTTAAAACAGATGCACTCCGCCAAACAAGAGCAACGACTATCAGAAAATCTACTCGGACTGGTGCCACGAGTTCGAGAAGTACAAGACAGCCATGAAGTCCTGGGAAAAGAAGCAAGCGGTAAGTGATAATGAGAAAGACCAACCCCCTGCGGCTGGCAGCTTTTGTCATAAAACCTGGATGGGTGGGTTCTGGGTCGTGGGGTGATGTGTTGTTGGTGGTGCAAAGGGCAGACACCATACACCATACACCACATAAACGATTTCGTTGGCAATTATTTTAATAGCCTTCGAGCCGGTCGGCTGTCCAAACTGACACCGCAACGTCAAATCAAAGGGAAAATAATAATAAAAATGGTGTAAGGTAGTTAAGTTGTCATTATCCAGACACCCCACCTGCGGTGGCGGTGTGACCCAAATGCAAGGTAATTGCTCCTTGGGGTGGGAGATGCAATGGAAATGTAATTAAAATGCAATCACTTACGGCGGGCTTATAGTCCGGCTTATATCCTCCTCCTGCTCCTGCTCATACATATCACTAATTGTATGTACCTTGCATTATTATATTACTTCTACAGCAATGCTCGACCCGGCAGAACTTCAGCAGCAATCAGCATCCAAATGAGATTTTCCGCAAGCCCAATGTCTGATACCACGAACAGAGTTTCGCTTTCAACATGCCGTCGTCCAATCCGTTTTAGATAATGCCAACGCACAACAGAAGCCCAACAGAAGACAGGAACAGAGCGGACAAGAATCATGATATCATCATTATATTATCATCGACATCATCATAGATATACTTTCTTCAGCAATGAACAGAAAAACAGAAAACTCTTCCTAAAGGATTATGCATTTACGGAGGCATTTACAATGCATTCATCTTAGACTTAGACTATAGGGTATTATCACACGACGACACAGCTCCTCCCATATGGTGCATTTCATTCAACTTGATTCGATTTAAATAATGATATACTATAGATACGCCACAACCCATAGCTAGCTACGACAATTGAACGTTTGAAAACCATGTAAACTGCCGCAGAACGCACATTCATATCGTTATTCGAATCTAGACTCGATTTAGTTTCAATATAACACCCAACATAAGAATAATCAATCTTTGAACTTAAAGGCAACCTTAATGTAATCGAAGAAGCAATGTGATGTTAAGTTTTGATAAATTTATGAACAGCCTAACCACAGTATAAATGTACCATAAACGATCTATATATATCAAGTTGTACACACGTTCATGCAAATCGAATGCAATTCCAACCTATGGGAACTATCCTTAGATAAACCTCAATCACAAGCAATACTCGCCTAACTCGTGCATCGACATATTTAACTCGAATCGGTCCATAGCTTATATATACATATGTCATAATAGCTGCGAATGAGCATTAATTCAGCGTTCGTTTAATATCTGTGTATGTGTACTTCCAAGCCAGTGTCTACTGTCCTATTCCTCTCCATCTTGCCGCAGAACAATTGAATATTACGGAGTGTGTATACATAGTACTTCGATTATCATTTTTAGTGTCTTGCACTTTCTTCAGACTTAATGTACTTAAGGTAATTTGCAAAATCTTTAGTTACTAAGCGTTTAGTTATAATTAAGTGAGAAAATAAATCTTTTAATAAAAAAGCAAAATTATCAAAAAAAACTAAGAGTTTTATCCCTTGGGTCTTGCAGCTCCTCAGGTAAGTCCTGCCAAGCAAACATTTAACAATAATATTCAAAGGCACTGAGATCAGGTGTGAGAAATTGTGTCCAAATAGTAATCTTCAAATACATAATAATTTCATTTTCAATTTCATTTGCAACTCTTCTTATCTCCGAACACATTGCATAATTCCAACCGAGTGCGCAAAGACAAATGTTAATTTTAAATCAAATACTTTGAACTATTCAACTTGGGCAAATATTTTATAACACAGCCAGAGACCGGACATCGGACATCGTCCAAAGTTAGCCACCGGTTGGTGGGCCGGTGTGTGTGTGCCAGGATGTAGAGGCAAAGTTTGTCGTGTCCTTTCGGCCAGGTCAAGCGCAAAGGCGAGAAATAACCAAATTTCCAATTTGGTTTTCGGGTGCCGAGTTTCGGGTTTCTGGTCTGGCAGAGTGTGTGTGTGTTTGTGTGATCCGACCCTTCGGGTCACCTTGCTGAAAATCCAAAAGGCAAACATTTGTGTGTTTGGCCGTGTCTGCGGGGGAAAGATTTGCATATTTCTGCGCTCAGGCGACATTAAATTGAATTCCATATTCAAATAGAAACGAGAGATAAGCACGAGCATACTTTCCAATTATAGATTGTCTATCCCGCAGACAAATAGAATTAAAGTGCAACATTTTTGCATAATAAGTTCTCAGTGCCTGCGGAACTGGGGACAGGGGCTGTGCCGGTGGAACAGCCGCTGCCAGTTCTCACCTTAATTAGTTATGCAACACCAAAAATTAAGCTTAATTAGCGTTGACTCACTGGTTTGGAAAATTAATTATTTCCACTCGCCGTTATTATTATCGCTGTGCACTTGGCCGGACCCAGCACAGGGCCCAGCCAGCCAGCTTCCGGACCCGCTTGTTGACTACTTAATTGAAATTCATACGATTTTTTTTCCGGAATCCAGAATCCGGATCCTCCGCTTTTGTCATTATTATTTACATAGCCAACCGCCAGACGTCGGTCGATGGGAGTTGGAGACTCAGGTCCTTGACAGCCCGCAGCTTTGTCTAAATTTTCACTGGTAATTGCTCCAAAAATGCATTTAATTCAAAGTAATTAGCTTAATAAATGACTAATACCTTAGCCAAATCGAGAAATTAATTTCATAAATATTCTTAAGTCCTTGAGATATCGATGACTGTCGAAATTATAGAAATTACAGAACCCTTTACAAAATGTAAAAAATACAAAATACTATCCATCCAAGTTATCCATGAAATCAAACTTTGGAACTGTCAAAATCATAACCCTTGAAACGCCCATAGCTCAGTTCATTTTACTGTAGAATGTCGCACAAGCCACAGATGAGCTGGTAATAGAAATACGAAACAAAATTTAAAGTGTTTATTAAAAGTTTGTTTTTGTCTTTAAAATATAACACGCGTTAAAAACTAAATTTGCTGTGTTACCGGTGTTGTCTGTCAACCGAGTAATTATTTGACTGCGAAATTGTTTTTTTTTCGAGACGCGCGAAATCGGGAATGCCGTCCTACAAGGATATCCATTTGGTGCGCGCCGGTTTCCGGCTAGCGGCTATGAATGGAAGCTATCGCGCTTTCGCCTCGCCCCTGATGCGCGGCTATGCCACCAAGTGCAAGAACCCTAAGGGCGTGGTCGTGGGCATCTATGCTAAGGAGGGCGACAAGTCTATCAAGACTACCGGCGGTGCTGTTCAGCTGGACGACGAGCTTGGCGGCAAGCTGATGACGCTGATCCGAGAGCGCGGCATGAACGGCAAGGCCGGGAAGGGGCTGCTGTTCAGCGGCTTCGAGGGCGAGTACAACACCGTGGCCGTGGTGGGTGTCGGCCCACAAGGAGCTGCCTATAACGAGAACGAGGAGCTGGACGAGGGCATGGAGAATGTGCGCATTGCCGCTGGAACCGGCGCACGTGCCCTCCAGCTCCAGGGCATGGTTGAAGTGCACGTCGACGCCATGGACTACCCGGAGCAGGCGGCCGAGGGCGCTGCCCTGGCCGTGTGGCGGTACAATGCCAACAAGCGCAAGAAGAACCGCACCCACACCCCCAAGCTGGACATGTACGGCAAAGGTGATCGCGACGCCTGGGTGCGGGGTCTCTTCAAGGCAGAGTCCCAGAATCTGGCGCGCCGTCTGTCCGACACTCCGGCCAACATGATGACTCCCTCCATCTTCGCCCAGGCCGCCGTCGACGCCCTGTGCCCTTGCGGTGTCACCGTCGAAGTCCGTTCCATGGACTGGATCGAGGACATGAACCTGAACTCCTTCCTGATGATCGCCAAGGGATCCTGCGAGCCTCCCCTGCTGCTGGAGTGCAGCTACTGCGGCACTGCCCCCGAAGATCGCCCCGTCCTGATGCTGGGCCAGGGCCTGACCTTCCACAGCGGCGGTCTGTGCCTGAAGCCAAAGAAGGGAATGGACAAGTACCGCGGCGCCATGGCCGGAGCCGCGGTCTGCGTGGGGGTCCTTCGAGCAGCTGCCGCCCTGTCCCTGCCAATAAACATCACTGCTGTGATGCCGTTGTGCGAACATATGCCCTCCGGCATGGCCGTAAAGTGCGGCGATGTGGTGACTCTTCTGAACGGCACTACCTTGGGCATCAAAAATGTGGGCAACGCTCCGGTCGTCCAACTGGCCGATCCTCTGCTGTACGCCCAGGCCACATACAAGCCAAAGCTTGTCCTTGACATCGGCCCCGTGGCCATGGGCGTGAACTACGCCGTGGGCGGTGGAGCCAGCGGTCTCTGGACCACCTCCAAGTCTGTGTGGCAGAACTTCCGTAAGGCGGGCGGCCTCACTGGCGACCGCATCTGGCGCTTCCCCCTGTTCAAGTACTACAAGCAGATCGTGAACAACAACATAACCTACGACCTCTGCAATACCGGAAAAGGTCCTTCCACTTCCTGCCTAGCTGCTGCTATACTGCACTCTCTGGTGCCCTGCGTGGACTGGGCCCATTTGGATATTCGCGGCACCGGATTAACCACCAAGATTAATGTTCTACCCTACCTACTTAAAAACTCGATGACCGGCCGGCCAACACGTACCGTCATCCAATTCATGTACCAGATGGCTTGCACCCAGTAGTCAGTAGTAGTGTAAGCTTAGGGTGTTCCGGATTGGATCCCATGTATTCCAGAATTTTGGTATTGGAATTTTGGTGCAGGAATTGACAGTGTTTAAACAATGATGCCAGTGAGAGAGGCTCGAATAGGTTTACTTGATGTGCGCATGCAGTATAATTTTACTTTGTTGTTTGGAAAAAAATGAACGAATAAATTTGTAATTTCGATAAAATAAAAAATGTAAAACAAAGGCTTTTGAGGAAAACTTACTTCTTAGAACATTCCCCTAAAATAATCCCCACTATGTGTGCTCAACCAGGCACACTTGGGCCAATAAATACATCAGTCTGAGCCTCAGTTTTCTGCCACCTGTGCCAGCCCACCTGGCAAATCAAAATTTGATTTCCAATCGAATGCAGGCAGCCCTCGTATAAATATGCCCTGATTTACCAGCTCGATTGAGTTGGCAGTGGCGGTGCGGATTTTGGGGCTTTGATGTGCGATGTGATTATGTTGACTATAAAATATTTACCTTTTGGCTAGAGTGACGGGGGAAAATTGCTTTGAAGTCAGAGTTCGGGTGCCAATCAATGGAATTTGGCAAATGGCATTATGAGGCCGACATTACATACATAACATATAGTATATACTTGGCTTCGAACCACGCTTCGGCAATCCTTGCAAGCATTTATACGGCAGAACGTTACGGCTAATTACAAACGGAGCACGAAATGGCAAATGTCTCTCTCAATATTTAATTGGTCCCTGCCAGGCTCAGATATTCAGCTGCTACTAAGGCACTGAAAGAAAATTATACCTAAAACATAAAAATATGTAATGAATTTATTGCAAAACTACGTGCTTGTTAAAAGCTTTTAATTATTCCAGATCTTAATAGTTTTTAATATTACATTTTTAAAAAATTATTTAAATTCATCCTTTATTTTCAAGTGCTACTGACTGGGACCACCTCGGGTTTAAGCCAGGTGGAATATGAGCAGCATTTGACTGCAAGCCATGTAACTGCAGTTGGCAAATGTTGGTAAACGTTGCCTGTGCGCTTCGGCTTTTGGTTTGTTTGCGGGTGTTTGGCCAGTCAAATTTAATTTTGCCTTCGAATGCCAAATGGCATACTTCTCGATTATATATTATACAAACAGCCTCCGGATGCCTTGGGCCGGTACGGACTCTGGACCCTTAACACTGCACTTAACACACACACTTACATCCGACTAGCTGGGCACAATGCTCTGCTATTTGCTTAAAGATTTTCCACCTACTTGCCCCCCAATGGCCTTCTGCTGCCATTTGTTACCTTGATTAGCTAATGCTAATTTGGGGATTTGCAATTTCCTCTGCTTGTTTATTTATGCTTCGGTTTCCATTTGAAGTGCTGATTGTAAACTGCACTGTTCGACCCATAGAAGGGATCAAAATTCATAGGCCATTTATGTTTTAGTTAAGAACTAATTGCTAATTTATTTTGCTTTTAGTTTTCCCTTCAGACGGATTATTATGAATAACCCTTGTAGAAAGTACTTTAGGATGGTCTAAATTGAATGGACTTTACATTTTAGAGTCTTAAATGTGTGGAAAAAGGAAAGTTTTGTTTGGAGAATCGGACCTCAGTTACACATATCTTTGACAATCGGCAACAGAATACTCCAAAATATTTTTAGACCGATGCCAGTGGCGGATTTAACAGGTGGGCAAAGGCGCGCTTGCCCAATGGGCCCCCCCGACGAAAGGCTTTCAGGGCCCCTCGTGCTGAAAGTTACACCTTCCATTTCTTTTCCATAAATCTGCATCAAAATCTGGGAACAAAATATTTTTAAGATTTTTTGTCAAATTTTCTGGGCTGTCCCCTTCAAAATGTGCAAAATGCATGGGGAGCCCCATATGACCCACTGCGAAGGCCATATCTTAGGAAATATTCATCCGATTTTTGAACGGAATACCTTAAACGATTTGTGGATCGATTCTCCATAAATCTGCATCAAAATCTGGGAACAAAATATTTTAAAGATTTTTTGTCAAATTTTCTGGTCTGTCCCCTTCAAAATGTGCAGAATGCATGGGGAGCCCCATATGACCCACTGCGAAGGCCATATCTTAGGAAATATTCATCCGATTCTTGATCGGAATACCTTAAACGATTTGTGGATCGATTCTCCATAAATCTGCATCAAAATCTGGGAACAAAATATTTTTCAGATTTTTTGTCAAATTTTCTGGTCTGTCCCCTTCAAAATGTGCAGAATGCATGGGGAGCCCCATAAAACCCGCTGCGAAGGCCATATCTTAGGAAATATTCATCCGATTCTTGAACGGAATACTTTAAACGATTTGTGGATCGATTCTCCACAAATCTGCATCAAAATCTGGGAACAAAATATTTTTAAGATTTTTTGTCAAATTTTCTGGTCTGTCCCCTTCAAAATGTGCAGAATGCATGGGGAGCCCCATATGACCCACTGCGAAGGCCATATCTTAGGAAATATTCATCCGATTCTTGAACGGAATACCTTAAACGATTTGTGGATCGATTCTCCATAAATCTGCATCAAAATCTGGGAACAAAATATTTTTAAGATTTTTTGTCAAATTTTCTGGTCTGTCCCCTTCAAAATGTGCAGAATGCATAGGGAGCCCCATATGACCCACTGCGAAGGCCATATCTTAGGAAATATTCATCCGATTCTTGAACGGAATACCTTAAACGATTTGTGGATCGATTCTCCATAAATCTGCATCAAAATCTGGGAACAAAATATTTTTAAGATTTTTTGTCAAATTTCTGGGCTGTCCCCTTCAAAATGTGCATAATGCATGGGGAGCCCCATACGACCCACTGCGAAGCCCATATCTTAGGAAATACTCATCCGATTCTTGAACGGAATACTTTAAACGATTTGTGGATCGATTTTCCATAAATCTGCATCAAAATCTGGGAACAAAATATTTTTAAGATTTTTTGTCAAATTTTCTGGGCTGTCCCCTTCAAAATGTGCAGAATGCATGGGGAGCCCCATATGACCCACTGCGAAGGCCATATCTTAGGAAATATTCATCCGATTCTTGAACGGAATACCTTAAACGATTTGTGGATCGATTCTCCATAAATCTGCATCAAAATCTGGGAACAAAATATTTTAAAGATTTGTTGTCAAATTTCTGGGCTGTCCCCTTCAAAATGTGCATAATGTATGGGGAGCTCCATACGACCCACTGCGAAGGCCATATCTTAGGAAATATTCATCCGATTCTTGAACGGAATACCTTAAACGATTTGTGGATCGATTCTCCATAAATCTGCATCAAAATCTGGGAACAAAATATTTTTAAGATTTTTTGTCAAATTTTCTGGTCTGTCCCCTTCAAAATGTGCAGAATGCATGGGGAGCCCCATATGACCCACTGCGAAGGCCATATCTTAGGAAATATTCATCCGATTCTTGATCGGAATACCTTAAACGATTTGTGGATCGATTCTCCATAAATCTGCATCAAAATCTGGAAACAAAATATTTTTAAGATTTTTTGTCAAATTTTCTGGGCTGTACCCTTCAAAATACCCTTCAATGTACCCTGAAAAAATTTTGCCCACTGGGCCTTTTTCCTTAAATCCGCCACTGACCGATGCTTTTTTTTTTTTATTTTTTGACTATAGAACAATTAAGCCCACAACAAAGATCAAATCTTTGCCAATAGTCATCCAAATCCTCAGAACAGTAACTCAACCCATTTCTAGTTTAATTTTCTATCAATCTAGATTAAAATTAAGAAAAAAAAAGTTTTTTTTAGTTTTTTTAAATATTTTTATTTTCATAAAAAATGTTTAAAACGCGTAGGAAAGACACTATGCCCATCGCCTACAAGGATATATAAGATATGTCTTTTCTCACATTTGGCTTTTTATACTCGTTTAAAATCAATTTGTCCACGTAACTACCAAGTTTTTATAAATTAATTGTTTGCTTTTAGCTTATAACCCTTTACGAGCTCTTTGCAGTTTAATTAAAGCACTTATTACAGGACATTCCTTTTTTAACTCCCCATATTAAAACGGAGAATTCCCAGATGTCCCAGCTCAAATGCTTGATCCCCAAATTGCCCTTTTCTGAACCCATTGACATTGGCCATTACCAGGAACAAGAAAAAAATTAAAAAACATAAACGTCTCATTTGAACACAAAATGGCAATTTGCTCAAGACAACACAGAAAAGGCGGCCCCAACCAGATGCAGGAGCTCATTTTGGGGGGCTAAAGGGGAGCGGGGGTCGAGACGGGTAGAGGTCCCGACTTGGACACGGACTAAGGAAATGCACGGATTTTATTGCTTATTTGTTAAATGGCTCGAAAAAGTTAATCAAGCGTGATTTTGATACGCCCCAGAGATAACGAATTAGCCTAGGTGGTAGGTGGTCGGTCGGTGGTATTGGGGATCTTGGGGGAATATCTTCCTTGCATACATATGCAAGTAGCTGTATTATTGCCTGCCTGTTTGTGTATGTGTGTCCTGCCATTGTTTTTATTGGTAATTTGGAGTAAAAAAAACTTCCACAAAATTTTTCGTTGTTTGACTTTTAAAAACATAAAAATGCCAGAACCTCAGCCAAGTGAGCTTCAGACATATCGTCAGCGACACCTGGCGTTTGACGTTTTATGAATTAATAAAGATGCCAGGTCGGTTCGGAGTCCCACAAGCTTGGCAGTCACTTGCTTACACAGAAAAAAAGAGATTAATTCTAATTAATATATGAAATATGAAGAAAAAGGGGTAGTGGGCAGATAAAAAAAAAAACACATCTAGTAGAAAACAAAAAGAAGGTTTTTTTCCTTTTTGAAGCTTTAACTCTAAACCTCTTAAAGAAGTCCCTAATCTTTACCTTTTCTTTTTCCAAAAAATCTAAAATTTACCATAATTTTTCCTGTGTACCGATTCCCAGGCATAATGCGAGTTTGGGCTAAGAAGAGCGGATAACACAAGCCGTCTTGTAGCTTATTAAACGTATTTTTACAGCATGCTTTACAAGAATTCTCACTTTATATGCAAACATGTGAAACACTATAAACAAAAGACCCCAATTTGCAGGCACACATACGCACTGTTGCCCCCACGCACACACACAGCTGCTGTTGGGGGAAAAATTCGCTTTCTATTAAATTTTACAGTAAACTGAATTTACACCCGCTCAGGGAAGGCAAGAAAAAAACAAGAACAACAACAACAATTTGAAGGTGTGGGT